ACTCGTTATTCCTTCTAACTCCTTGATTCATAATCCTGACCCACCGTAAGTGGGTCGGTCTTACTCATCCTTGTGCCCTGCATGTGATTCTTTTGTACTATTCTTGGACCATGGATTTGTGTATATAAGACCCCTGTAGCTCGCCCTAAGTCCCCATCTCGACCTCTTGTGTCTTGGGGACTTAGGTGAGTAACTGTCTCTGTACTAGATACTATGCTAACTTGTGTCTTGGGGACTTAGTGTGTGACCTTGCGTCCATTAGGTGCCTATTGCGTCGCTGTCGACCTCGTGTCCAGTGACCTTGAGTCGAGCTCAGCTCCTCTTCATCTGCGTGTACTCTTGCCTAAAGTAAGTGCCGACGACGTTGCTCTTCCATCCGACTCTACCCGATTACTTGGACATTTCGGCTGTCTGAGTAGTTGGTAACCCCAACGGGCGCTCCCCTGCACGTCGCTCGTCACACTGCTGCGGTTATGTTACCCCCTCGTTGCCCCTCGATTCTATAGCGTTGAAAAGCTAGAGCCTGTGCTGAGGGTTGCAATTGCGTTTGGCTTCCACGGGGTGGTTGATGCACTTGCAGAGCGCCTCCAAACGAATGCGTCGGTTTGGGGGGCTCTCAAGGTTTATGCGTGTGCATGCCGCCTTTCGCTACGTGAAGAACAGCGCATGGCAGCCACGCACCTGAAAAACTGGTCTGCACAGGATCTGGACAATGCAATATGCAACGATATACCCGCTACCGATTATATACGACTACTTCAGTACGCACGCTTACCACTCGTGGAAACTATCCTCTTTTGGATACCGCCCGCTCCAGCCGCTGCCCCTAAAAGAAAGAAAGGATTAGCGAGTGACGAGAGCGCAACAGCACACACTCTTTCCAAGGCTTCTCCACCCTTCAACGATGCTCCTCCTGCCGATGTCATACTACAATCATGCGACTCGGTACAATTCTTCGTATGCAAAGTCATCCTTTCATTTGCTTCCCCCTTTTTCCGCGACATGTTCACCCTCCCACAGTCTTCCGGGTCATCCGACGTGCAACCCGACATACCAGTGATTCCCATGGTGGAGAGTAGTGCGACTCTAGACGATCTTCTCCGGATCTGCTATCCTGCATTGCAGACTACTGCCGTGCTGGATGATTTACACAGATTGCACGCCGCGTTGACCGCCGCCATCAAGTACGACATGGAGGGTGCGGTCAATATTTTGAGTGCTCGGCTACACAGCCTAGCAGAGAATGATCCAGCCGGAGTGTATGCCATCGCGAGGTCCTGCAATCTTGAGGATGTCGCCCTTTCGGCGGCGAAGCTCTCGCTCGGGAAACCCGTTGAGGATTTAGAGAACTCCCCTCATTGGCGACACGTCCAAGCAGCAGAGTTTCGTCGGCTATGGCACTATCATGTTGCGTGTGGTGTTGCCGCCGCAGAGTGCACCGCAATCACGAACAGACGCGTGCCTGAATGGTTTTCATTGCGACAAGAGTCACCGAGATGGACGACTTGCAGCTGCATAAGACCATCCGGAGGTTGGCATAGCAACGGGATTAAGACAGATTGGGTGGACTACATGGCCAGTCGAACTCCCCTCCTACGCGTCCGGCCCGGTGACTTGTCCATCAACACATTTGAGGAGCTATTACGCCACGTTTTACCCGAACGATACAGTCCGTGTCCGGATTGCCTCGCGCATTTGCATTCGACATTCGACAGCATGCAAACGTTCTGCAGGGACCTTGCATCGGAGATACAGAGGAAAATCAATGAGGTTTGTCCCGCGCGATATTGCGATATCATGGAGACGCATGAATGCTAATCACTTGACGGCAAAGGTTCCTTTTCCCGCTTCAGCCTGAGTTGCGTAAACGGTCCAGTCAATATACGAGGTCATTGAAATCCCGTTTCGCATACCTCAAACTGGCGATCTCCATACGAACTTGTCGCAGGCTGGTCCTGCTCGGTTTGGTTTGACCGACGCCCCACATGTGGCGCACGGCACCCTATGCATCATGCACATCCAATCTAAATGTACCTCCGTTCAAAAAGATGGACAACGACGCATCATATCTGGTTCAAGAAATATCCCCTTCCTCGCCGCTCAATGATCGGGATGGGGATGCGATTCTAAGATCGTTGGACGGGCTGGAGTTCCGCGTCTACAGGTTGTTCCTCGACAAAACGACCTTTATCTTCCAGGATATGTTCTCTATTCATTAGCGTCAAGGTGCCCGCACTGAAACCGAGATCCCCATCATCGACGTTTCGGCAGACAGTCGAACGCTAGATGATATCCGGTCGTCAATCCAGAGCTAGAATCGTGACACGGAGTCGCACTCTTGTAGCAATGCTCCGGTATATCAGCGGCAAGGAATTTCGTGCTCTCATAGGATATCACCAACAGCGTGGCGAAGGGGTTTCGTCTCAATATGTTCCGGCGACGCATGCTTTAACACGTACAGCAGCAAAAACTCGAATCGGTGGCAGGACGCACATAGCGGAAATGTATCCAACGAGCTTCTGAGTGATCACGGACTCAAAATGCCTGTAAGCCAGGACCGTGTTACATATGCGATGTCGGTGCAGCGGGCTTACAACTGAAGCTTGTCGAGGTGTTGTGACTGTCTCTGGATAGACCGCAATCCAAACGGAACCTAGTAGGCAATATTCGCTGGGAGCGATAATGTTTCGATGTTTGATCAACGACACAAAAGCGTGTATATGCTAGCTGGGTGAAGTCGAGGCATTGACAAGGGATAGAGGCGCGAGAAAAAGCAACTAACGATCACGTGATCCAGCACGATGAGCGCGAGCGCCTGAACGCGCTGTTGGTGCTGCCAGGTTCGCCCAAACTCTGAGGTCTACTCAGTTTGCTCGCATCCAGACCACCTCACGACAGCGCTCATTCCCGCGACGGCGACTGAATATATACACCGTGAAAGTTTCCCGTCTCGGGACGAGGTCGCTAAGGTATGATCCTTCTTTGTGTTGTTGGCGACGACTGAGCAAACAGGTCTCACTGCAGCTGTTGATATGGCCTTGAATATGCTAGAAACACCCTCGCGCATATGGAGACGCATCGAGGCAGCCGCGGATAACGACATGCCATCTCTCCCGTCTCTCCCGGTCTTTGACGACTCAGCTGCACCCTCGACCGACCTATCTCAATCTTCTCTGGACGACTCGAACCTGGACCTTTCCCGCAGCCCCATCCAATCAACGCCGGCTCAGTCTAGCCATGCTACTCGAAGTACGATTCGTCCGCCTTCCAGCGCGTCCAGCACTGCACGATTCGCCAACTCCATCGCCTCTCGATCGCGGCTTCAGGCCTCCTCCTCGACTGGAACCACCAAGTCGCTGATCGACCCCACGACTAGATCCTCCCTCAACTCTACGCGCACCTCGGCGTTTCGCCTTTCTGAGTCTCGTTCTCACAACGTCAATGGAGTCACAACGGGCGATTACGACAGCTTTGAAGCGAGCCCTATCCGCCGCCCTCCCTCCTCGCCGCATTCACAAGGGTCCAGCATGTCCCTCGAGATAGATTCCTATGCAGCACCCGCACTGACCGAAGAACGCAGCGCATCTAGTATCCCTGATGATTATCTTCCCCCTGAGGAAGGTGAGGAGACGGGCGCGGCTTTGGAGAACGAATATGAAATAGAGCTTGCGGATGCTCTCGAACCCGTCAGCAGATCCGGATCGACGTCACCTCATCCATCAGATTTTGAGTTGGATGAAGAAGATGTCCCGGCATTGACGCCCAAGAAGAACTATGACTATTCCGTCAGCTTGAAGTCCGAACCTGAGGTACGGGAAACGTATTTATTGTGTCGTCTCTAGGCTCTGAGTTTGTACCTCTTTTATATCTCCCAGCCATCCCCTTTTGGCAAAGTTCGGAAGTCATCGAACATTTCAATGCGTCGCAAACCCTACGTAGGCACGCCGCGGCCGACCCGGACAAATATGCGAACACCCTCCCTCACACGCACCACGCCTTCCCCAAATACTTCCGCTACTGAATCACTCGCTACTCCCCGCAGCGGGCGTTCGTTGCAAACCACGGATACAGAGGAAGCATACGAAGAGGCCGCAGTGCCCCTGCCTCGATCCGCCACCGCCTCGCCCGCTTTTGGCCTTGTGCGCGATGCTCGGGCTCTTGGCCTTCAGAGCCCCTCCACGATTCCGTTGCCCGCGTCACCAGCCGTGGCGCAGGAGGATTCCGGCGAATCGACACCTAGTCGCTTTGGACAAACTTCAGCTCCCGCTGAATCTAGGGAGCGATCGCCCACTGCGACTCCTTCTCAAGACCCGACATTCTCCTCCGAAGGCGAGAACACTCCTACCAGGCGCTCGCCGAATTCGCTGTCGCACGCTTTCGGCACGCCGGCTCAAAGTTCGATGGCCACCCCGACGCCGGTTCAACGACCGACCTTTCAAGTTCGGCCCCGCGCCCGTTTCGGCATGGCGACCACCACCCCTCCCACTCCTCCAGGAGGTACTCCCGAATCCGCAGATGGACACGACGAAGAGAAGGCCGAACAAGAGGATACCGTCAGCGAGCTTGCGTCTGAACAAACGGAACGCGCAATCGTGCCTGCCACGCCCGCGTTCAGCGACCGCCGCCGGTCGTTCCTCATCGACGTCATCAACTCGACCGCACGGCCAAAGATGCGGTTCGCGCCCACACCGCATCCGCGACGCGTGGTCGAGGAGGACGAGGAGGGCGAACAGAGCGAGGTCCAAAAGGAGGGCGCAGCCACGCCCCGGCCGGGCGAGAAAGCGCTTCGCTTCGACACCACCGTCACGGAGTCGGTCGTCGCGCAGACGCCTGCCCCGGCAGCGCTGTTGAATAGGCCCACCCCGGCGTTCACCCCGGGCGCGCGGCTGTTCGCGGGCATCACACCGCGGCCTCGCGCGCGAGCGCGGCTTTCGCATCCCCTCACCCAGGCTTGGACGGCGAACGCGCCGGTAGACGCGGCATCGGAGGCGGACACGGCGTCTGTCTCGCCTTCCGCGGACGGTCTGTCCCCGTATGACGACCGCGCGTCGGTGGCGTCGAGCGCGTCCTCGCACGACCTCACGACGAGGCCGTACGCGCGCGCGAACGCGAGCTTCGACCCGGTGATGGGCCTCGCCGCGCATGGGCACGGCGTGGGCAAGTTCAACGCGACGAAGCTGAACGCGTATCTGCATGGACTCAACCGCCGATTGCAGCAGGAGAACGAGGCGCTGTTGGAGCGGTTGGAGAGGCTTGAGGGCGAGCATGGCAGCGGGAGCGTTGTTTCGGCAGGGGGAGAAGCGAACGCCAGTGGAAGGCGGTTGAGTATGGGGAGCGCGGGAAGCGCGGGAAGGCGGAGGGTGAGCGTCGGCGGGAGTAACCTGGGTGATGTCGTTGAGGAGGATAGGGAGAAGCTTGAGGAGGAGCGCGCCATGCTGGAGGAGATGGTGGAGGAGCTCAAGGAGGAGGTCGCACGAACGGGGGCAGAGAAGGAGGAAACTGAACGTGCGCTGGATAAGTGCCTTGCCGAGAAAGAGCAGCAGGGACGGGAGCTGGAGCAGGAAAGGGAGGCCAGGGCGCGGGACAAGGAACGGTGGAAGGAGCGTATGGGCGAGGTGGAGCAAGGCGTGTCGGAGATCGTGAAGGGTCTGGAGGCGAAGGTGGTGGTGGCGGAGAAGAAAGCCGAAGAGGAGGAGGAGGAGCGGAAGAGGGTGGTCAGGGCGTTGGAGAGGAAGCTCGCTGACTTGGAGGACGAGAGGGATCAGGCGGTTCAGAGGGCGGAGAAGGCGGATGTGATGCTGAAGCAAGGGAAGGACCTTGGCGGAGAGTTGGCCGAGGCGAATGAGAGGATAGCACAGCTGACGGGAGAGCTTCGAAGTGCTAGTTCGCACATCAAGGATCTGGAAGACGATATCGAACGCGCTGAACACAAGGTTGAGGCCATGCAGAAAGACATGCAGCACGAACGTCGGCTGATCGCTGAGTTGGAAGATGAGGTGGAAGCCAAGTCCAACGACATTAAGAGCATGCGGCAACGCCTGGAGAGGGCGGAGGAGGCCAAGGAAGAGCTACGCAAGACCAAAGCTTACATCGCTGAGGTTCTAAACGATGCCGCCGCCGCCGCCGACCGCATCGAGGCCCTTGAACATGATCTCGCTGCCACCCAGGAGAAGCTCGCTGAAGCTGAAGAGGTCCTGGACGAAGCCAACGAGAAGAAGGATGCGATGGAGATCGAGGCCGAAAGGGCGAACGAACTTGCGCGCCAGATGGAAGAAGCACTCGAGGCTGCGGAGGAGAGGATCCGGACGGACGAGGAAGATGTCGCTTCTTTACGCACAAAGATCGCCTCGCTCGAACGGGAGATTGAGCGACAGCGAGAAGAGTCTCGGGCGTTCGCAGATCCCTCCCGGACCAAGGCCGGACTTGACGATCAGCGGCAAGCGGAGATCGACGCCCTGGAGAACGAACTGGACGAGGCGAACCGGGAGATTGCGAGACTCAACACGGTTCTTAGCCAATCTCCTGCCCGAAAGGCAATCGACAAGGCAAAGGACGCCAAGATTGAGGTGCTCGAAAAGGAGAAGGAGGAATTGCTCGAGAGGGTCAAGAGCCTGCGCTCGGCAGCGGCGGTCGGGGCGAGCACACCAAATAGACTGGCTAACCTCAGCACGATATCTCCGATGCATCGGCACGCTTTGTCTATGTCGATCCACTTCCCTAAGACACCTGGTGGCCCATTGCGGGATGTAAGTGAGCTATATGACTGTCGTAATGCCCTACTCACAGACCATTGCTTTCTTCCGTAGCTTACCTGGTTGAACCAAACCACTCACGACCCTGCCGCGGCACCATTGTTGGCAGAGATCGCTCGGCTTCAAGCAGAACTTGGGCGTGCCAATGAGAGCATCGACGATAAGCTCGACAAGCTTGATGACGCCGGTCAGGGCGTCGTCGGCCTCACAAGGAAGCTCGAGGATGCCCGGGCTAAGATCATTGCTCTGGAGGAAGAGATTGCCCGGCTCTCTCGGAGAGAAGACCGCAGGATGAAACGACTCGAACGCGCTAGGTGCACGAAGTGCCGAAGCAAGGTTGATTTGAGTGGTCTTGGTCGGGCGGCTGTCGGTGACGAAAGGTATGAAGGCTTCGTTCAGACCAGGAGCAATGTTTTGCTAACCCCACTTTGTACCAGCTCGCTGGATGTCTCCACCGTCACACTCCCGTCGGACCCGGCTACGCCTCCTACAAGGACGAGCGAAGCATTGAGAGCCGATCTTCGTGCGGTGAACGCTGAGCTATCGACCCTAAAGGCCAACTGGGAGAGCGAGAGGCGGCATCTTCTCGGCGAGAACGCCGTCCTCAAGGATGCAACCAACAAGCTCAACTCTCAGATTCGCGACGCGAAAGCCGAAGCGAAGAGGGCTGCAGAAGGCGTCAAATCACGCATGGGCATCGAAGGGGTCAGTAGCTCTTTTTTGCTTCTGTGCTTCTACTCATTCCGATCCAGGAACTTGATGACGCTCGGCGTATGATTGCCGCGCTGGAAGCCGATTTGCAGGAGGAACGAGCGCGCCTGCGCAGGCTGGCTACGGACAAGAGCAAAGCCGAGCGCGAGAAGGAGGATATCCTACTTCAAGTCCACAGAGTAGAATCAGTAAGTTCAGTTTCGATAAAGCTTAGATAACCATGTCACTGATTCGGTCCAGGACATGGATGCTGTCAAGGAACAGTTGCAGCGAGCGAAGCGCCAGAACCACGACCTTGAGGCCGACTTGCGAGGTAAGTTTCGCTCCGTGACGATGCATCACGACACTCAATCGGTATCATGTCAGCCAACACGAACGCCGAGCAGAAAGTGCGATTGCTGGAAGCCAGAGTCGCCGAGAACGCTGATGTTATAGAGCGACTGCGCGACGAGCGATCTTTACTGGCCAACGATCATAAACAACTGCAGCAGCGCTACGCTGAGGTTTCGAAGGTACGGATTCTGTCGTACCATTGTGCAACAAGACCTCATCAAGGCGATGACAGAGTGTGAACAAGCTCCGAGGGGAGTATGCCGCGACCCAGTCAAGCCATGAAGGTCGTCGCCAGCAACTGGATGATCATCTCCATGAGATCGAAGAACTACGTCGTTTGCTCTCTCAACAAGCGGACGAATTGCACCGGGCTCAGCAGGAGCAGGACAGGATCGCTGTAGAGAAGAACGACGTTGCGCGAACTGTTGCGAACCTTGAAGCGGACCTCAGGCGCGTGAAGCGCGATGCCGAGTCACTAGGTCGTGACCTCAAGATCCTCAGGGCGGAGAAAGATAAGGGTGAGGCCCAACAAGTGGAGGAGGTCACCAAAGCGCGGAGAGCCTTGAAGCAAACTCAGAGCGAACTGAGAATCGTCACCGAGCAACTGGAACGCTACAAGGAGAAGGCGACTGCGGCACAGGACCGTCTCAGATCCCATGTTTGCGCGGTGTACGTGCGCATGATTTGCACTCCCCATCTAAGCGACTGATAATGTCTTTTTAGGGACGACAAGCAGATTGCGAACTTACGCCTTCAACATAACAAGGAGTGCAAGGGTCTCATCGTACAGATTCGGTACCTCAAAGCCAAGTTTACAAGGGAGGCTTCCCTGCGATGTGACCTCATTTACCAGAAACAGTACCTTCTCGTTCTCCTCTCACAGCATACGAAGACGTGAGTTTCTTACACGTCCGTCAGTCGAGCTGCATATAACATTCCTCCAGAGAAAAGAAGGTATTGGCCGCGATAGCAAAGATAGGCTTCGCGGTCCCTCCGCCTGCGAGGCGGAAACGTTTGTCGCTTAAGGGCGCCGCGTCAGCAATTATGTTCCTATCACGAGCAAAGTATGCATTGGATTCTTTCCGTAAAGTTGTGTCTCTGATTGTTTCTTTCTATCAGGCGTGCAAGTGACTCATGGCGGGAACAGAGTGCAACCAAACAGGCCGTAGCTGCGGCCCTCCAGGAGGTGCGAAGAAAGAGGATAGCCGCTTCATAATACTACACATAATTTATCCAAGCATTCTTGTACCTTACTGCATCCCTCATGTACTCCTAGAAACTGTGTATGCATCCATTAGAATATGCACCAACTATGCAACATACTTGGTAAGTTAGTAGCTTGACTTTCAGTGGCCATGGACCTGGGTTACCGCTGGTGACGTCGGTGTCCCGAAGCGCGACGCGTTCTCGTTCGGCTTCGAGGGGCCCTCGCCTCGGCGCTCGCTTCCTCCTACAATTCTCAGTGCTCAGCACTCAGAAACGAACTCAGGCTTGACCGGCAGCATGCAAGCGCGAGCTATTTGGCGATACCTATCTCAAACGCGACCATTGCTTCCGTTCCGGTACAGCTGTTGCCGCCATTTGCCTACAACGGAAGCGCCTCGACCCCGCAACCCCCTGACTCTCGTCAGAGTGTTCTCTATATCTGCGGGACGGAAAGATAACGGAACTAGACCCGACAAGAAACTCACAAAAGATGATCCACCACGGTCTGAAAGTAGTGCTCCTACCAAGCGAAAAATCATTCCTCTTGCCATACGAGAAAACATCTACACTTGGCCTAACTTGTTGACTACCTCGCGTATATTGGCGTGCCCGGTTTTGGGATGGGCTATACTACACGACAGCTTCTACTTGTCGACGTCGTTGCTGGTATACGCAAGTTTGTCGGATTGGGTGCGTCGGAACTTCACGTCGGGACTTCCATTGTTTTAAGATTGTTGTAGTTCGATGGATTTCTTGCACGAAGATACAATATGCGCTCGGTGCTGGGGACTATCCTTGATCCTGCAGCTGACAAGACCCTCGTGACGACGCTCACGGTGACTTTGGCTATGAAGGGGCTATTACCAAGTGCGTGCTCCGTTGTTTTCAGCTCCCGGTTGTTCTGACGAGGCGGTTCATCGTTTTCAGTCCCGTTAGCTGTAATCATCATCGGTCGAGACGTTCTCCTGAGCTTCTCCGCATTCTACATCCGATACACCTCGCTTCCGGCCCCGGTGCGTACGGCCCGCATACGACCGACAGCCAAGCTCAACGCAGGATAGAAAACGTTCTCCCGATATTGGGACTTTTCGATACCGTCTGCGGAGGTCCGACCTACACAAATCAGCAAGGTTAGCATCCTGACTCACTCTCCGTCCCCTTACGCTCACATCCACTGTGCATCAGTACAATACTGCCTTCCAACTCCTGCTTATGGGCACTACCGCCATCAGTCCTATACTACCAATTGATCTGGCCATTCCTCTGACGGCCTTGCAGTACGTTTCGATAAAGTCACGCGCCGCGGGCACGTCTCGTCTCTGACGCGCTTCCTGCAGATGGACAGTAGCGACCACGACGATATGGAGCGGGCTATCATACGTATTCTCCAAGGATGCGGTAAAACTGATTTCGACCCGGAGGAATGATTCCGATCAGCCTCCTCCTCCTCCTGTAACCTGACACACTGATGTGTGGTAGCCTGCCCAGACGGTGCGACGCCAATATTACTTCATCGCGAAAGGCGACAGCTTGCGCAACGGTCCAACGTATGCAGTTTCCTGCCCGTCTTCTCGGCGCCGCCACTGTACCACGCGAAGTTGGACGACATCCCTGATGTACATTAGACGTAAACTTTGTACTCGCATGCCCTGGCGCACTGTTCGCCTTTAGCACATAGTAGATATCCATACACACCAGCGCAAGACCTCGCCGCTGCTGCGCCAGCGCCAAGACAATATGCTCACGTGATCGGCAAGGCCGGCAAAGTGGCATCATTCGCGTTGTCTCCGCCTGATGGCCCCTCTTCCACTTGCAATGAGCTCGAATAGCAGACCATATATCCCCATCGCCCCCTTCAATGATCGCACCAATACGACCGACCTCATTCTGCGCTCCAACGACAAGGCAGAATTCCGCGTTTTCCAGAACATCATATGCATCGCGTCCAGTGTCCTAGACGGCGAAATCAAACGCCTGAAAGGCGAGCGCGAGTCTGCGAAAGGCGCTGGCGACGCGCGTCTCGTCTTGGACCTAGACATACCCGCTCCAGTCATGGATTTGCTGTTGCGATTGTGCTATCCGGTGACGTGTCCTCCTATCTTGAGACTGCGAAGCCTCGAGGACGTGATGCATGCCTCGATGAAGTTCGGAATGTCCGGCGTGACGCAACGCTTGAAGGAGCGACTGGAATTGCATTTCCTTCCCGAAGATCCTATTGGTGTCTTCGCTGCCTCGTGTCGACTCCGTCTATCGGACGTGGCTCGAGCGGCGGCATGGGAGATCGACCACGAGATATCTACGCTCTCCACGGATGATCTCGACAACCTCCAAGATATATGCGCCGCAGATTATCTTCGTCTAAAGCGTTTCCTTGCCTCCGGAGGACAGGACCGCGAACTCATCCTTTTCGAATGGTCCTGGGAAAAGGCAGCGTTGGGCGGACCGGCCCAAGAGGAAGGATCCAAGGTGGCAGCAGCTCCTTTCGACGACGCTTCGTTCGCGGATATCATCCTCGAAAGTTCGGACCACGTCAAGTTTCACGTCTTCAAGTCCATCATGGCCTCCGCATCGTCGGTCTTCCGCGACATGTTCACGTTACCCCAGAAAGCACAGGACGAGCTGCCTGTGGTGTTCATGACAGAGGACTCCCAAACATTGGACACGCTCCTCCGCGCTTGCTACCCAATCTCACCGGGCCCAGCCCGTACGCTCCAGAAAACGTACGACGCACTAGCTGCTGCCATGAAGTACGATATGATCGAAATTATCAGCCGGTTTTCACGGGAATTGATGGAGACGCACGCCGTCGCAGACCCCGTCAGCGTCTACGCCATGTCGGCGAAGCTGGGACTCGAGGACGTCACGCGAGCCGCCGCCAAGTTGGTCCTCGGCAAACACGTCGACGATCTCGATTCACCGCATTGGAATCTAATCCATTCTTCCCATTACCATAGGCTACGGCGCTATCACAAGTCCTATTCCGACTCCGTCGCGGACGTTGTCACGATCGATAGGGATTCAGGGCTTATGTACTGGCAGAACTCAGATTATAGTCGTTGGGTATCCTGCGATTATCCCGCGTGCATTAACGGCGTCGCCAGTCAGGACGCGCCGAGGCTAGACCGGTTATCCGTCAAGAAGTGGTGGCTGAGATATGTCAGGGACATAGGCGACGAACTGCGCAGAAGGCCACTGGATCCCTCCATCACGTCGTTCCTCCGTCTGCTTCCCTACGCCACGCCAGAGGCTTCGCTGTTGTGCCCAGAGTGTAGACCTCACCTTTCGAAGGACCTCGAAAGTATGCAGCAGTTTTGCCGTCGATTGAAGATTGAGGTCGAACGCCGTGTCGATGAGGTAGTTCTTTTCTCGGGTTTCCTGCGTTATCGGACATAGCTTAATCTCAGTCTTGGCAGGTTGCGTTCCCTAGCTGGTGAGCCTTGTACTGCGGTAATCACGCTCTAGCTTCACGGTTAGGCCGATTGGTCGCGATCGAAAACCGCAAGTCGCCCCTGAGTCCGCGAACATGCAATGCCCACCTGCAAGGCCATGGCAATGGATAAAATCAGCTCCCGGCAGCTTCCTGATCATGACAACTATCTTTAGCTAAGTCAAGCTAAGTGAACTGGGTGGGGCGACTCGCACAGCTTGACAGCGACCGATATGCCGACCTTATATAAGACTAGACAGTAGACTTCATGAACCAGGCTCGCTTCCTGCCTTATCGTGTCTCCTATACATCCAGTGCAAACAGGTGTTCGTGTTTTGGTGCAAGGCTATACTTCTCGACATAAACATTGATTACTCAACAAATTGCATGTCACTACCTACCTACCTACGCGATATCTATGCGCACGAGATGATCAGTGGTCAACGTACTGTACCGGCCTTACAGGAGTCGGCGGAAGGAGGCTAGAGATGGTTGACCAGTACCACCATACAAAGCAAGAAGACTATCAGCGAGCAACGCAAAGTGACAGGGGCGACCAGGCCGCAAACAATAATACGTGTAGCAAGTCTCGACATCGCAATGGTCAATGAAGGAGACCAAGCCAAAGCTCAAGCGGGAGCGAGCAACGATTGTTAATTACTCAGTCTTTGCCGAAGGGGAAAGCGACATAATTAGCCCCGTTTTCGTCGTTGACTGGGGATACAGTGGCCTCAGACGAGAGGACAGAACAGGCGTCCTCGTGTTTGTCCCTGACTGCAGCCTGGTTAGCCGTCCCACGAGTCGTGAACGAAAGGCAAGGGTAACTTACCATGATTTCCAAGCTGGTAAGCGCGGGCAGGTGGAAACGTTTGGTTACATCCTCGCGCAGGACACCTAAGACGGGATTTGCCCTCGTGGTGGTCCCTATAATGCCGGTAATACTCCTTCCTTCTCAAGTACGCGTGCAAGTGGTGGTGCTCCAAGCATTCGGGGCAGGCATATTTCGCGACGCCGTCGTCAACGTACTCGGCGGCGGGAGGATAGGACGTGTTACCGCGACTATCCCACAAATGCACTAATCAGGGCATGCCAAACGAAAGCCCTGGCGCGGGTAGCTTACCGGATCAGAGGGAATGCCTTCCGAGAAGCCTTAATAATTTTGCCAGAGACGCCCTTGAAGCTGTTGGAAGTGCCAATTCCGAACCCTGGGGCGCATCCTACGAAATGATCCATAGCCAACGTGCCGTTGGACGGGCCCGCACTGCTCGAATGCCATGACGCTCATGTCTAAGCGAGTTGCGAGATTGACATACCCATTGTATTCCACCCTCTTCGAACCCGTCGCTTGCAAGGATGCGGGATCGCTAGCGTTTGCGTACTGCGCCGAGTAAGCAGGAGGCGAGCTCGATGTCCTCTCGAGGAGTCGTGGATCACTGAAGGAACCATCAGGAGCAAAAGGCAAAAAAGGGGGCAGCAACGTACATGCACGCGAGGGACGTGACACCATCCGAAGTCGACGCTCTGTGAGTTGGAGGAACTCCGCCTAGAGCCGGACTGGTAGAAGATGCATACGAGGAGGGCTCAAGATCAGCGCCGGCGTACGCTGGACGAGAAGCGAAGCGATTTTCGGAGGAAACCTGCGTCACCCGAGGATTGGAGACTTGCAGTCTGGGTCTAAACCTGGTAGCATACAGAACCTGCGTAACACCGTCCGAGAAAGCGAACTTACGATCCACGACTGGAGCCTCCGTAGGCAGATCCTTGAGTTCCATGATTGGGGTAGGGCAGAGGTGGGTTACGAGGTTGAAAGTCGAAACCTGCGGGCGGTGCTACATAGCCTGTACCCGGAAAGCTATTGATCTGTGCAGTGCTATACGGGTGGGACTGGCTCCAGGGAACGTCATTCTCCCCGAACTGTCTAGTATCTAGTAGGTTCAGGCTATGGCCGTGTCATCGACGATTCCCATACGAATGTATCAAAAGGGCGAACCCAGGTGGTAAAGCGAGGTCGGGCTCCGGGATTGCCACGAACGGCGGATCACCTCCGAGTCTGCTATCTTCCTCTTAGTTGATTCCATCGCGCGTCTTCGTGCGGCCTACGTACCGATTCTCACGACCAGCATCAGAACGACCGGAGAGCCCAACAGGAATGGCGTGGACGCGCGTGGGCTGCGCACCGGCGGGGGTGCGTTGTATGAGGAGTTGCATAGTGAGCGGGTCGAACGGATCGTTTGGTATCATGGCCTGCAGTTACCCCGACCCTCACGAGGCTCAGCGACAGTTGTGCAGTCTCCCAAGAGAAGATGAAGGGCGTGGAGAAGGTCGATGAAGTCAAGAAATCAGTTTATGAGGGCCGAGGACAACGCCAAAGACGCCAATCCCCGTGGCCAGTGGCTGCCCACACTGAAGGCACGAGACCGACCCTCGACGCTCCGGCTCCCCCAGCTCCTCGGCAGATCGCGCGGCGTTCGTTATGGACGAGCAGATCTCCAAGCGCTTCGCTCTCTCCGTGAGCATCGCGTTTGGAAGCTAATTGTAAACAGACGCGTAGGCGTGGAAGGTGCGCGACGAATCAAGGTAGTCGGCGACACTCGAATGCTCGTCCTGACGTCCCGCTGGGGTGAACGACTGGGGGGACATCATGCACGTCGCTGGTTGAAGCTATGGACCGCCTTCGAGCGCTGGGACGTCGCTATTCGGTGGCTCTTCCTCGGTATCACCCGACCACTCTCACAGCCTTGGCTTCCATGGGAGACTAGCCCACTGTCGGGTAACCATGTGCCGTAACGCCGAGAATGCGGTAAGTGCCTTGGTATACCGGATCTTTGGCAGATACACGCTCACCTACCACAGAGTATATGCGCTAGAGTCGGTAATCAACTTCCTCAAAGAGCAGGACGTCCCACGTCAACACTACTTGGTTTATGGACCGCTGATGTTTATATATGTGCAATCTGCGTCATTGTCTGTATCTTGGGCGACGCCTTCGGCGAACCTTGGAGGCTGGTTCTAGAACAGCGGTCATCGACACGATGCGGATGTCGTGTAAGCCGGCCAGGTTGCTTTCGAGGTCTCCTCATTCAGGCATCAGTCGTCCGTCGGTAGTCTATGCCAGATGGTCCAGCATCTTATTTCTGGCTCGAGCGGCATTCGATAGGCCGGGCTATGTCCGTGTATCGCAGCGGAGAATATTGCCAGTGGATTGATGACCAGAAAACGCTTTCCGCGATGAACATGAGCGTGAGGTCCTGCCGGATGGCGACCGCTGACTTCATGGCCCGCCTCTTCGTCGACAAGGAAGTGCAAGATAGAGCCAAAGCAGCCCAGGTGCCTAAGGCTAATGATTGTCTCGGACGATAGCGGCGATCGGCCACGAGGCTCTCGAACGTGACCGTACGGCGTTACCTCAAGCCGCTCCTCGACTTCGGCCCATGGTGCACAAAACGCACAGAACGATCGTGCTCTTGGAACATACAGCGGCGGTTCACGACCCTCAGCGCCCTTCAGGATGCCCATTGACGGTCAAGGGCTCTCGATGATAGGGGCAAGAAGGATACAAGGAACGAGGTGACCCCGGGTTGTCGGCAACGCTGCATGCTTGAGGCTTGAGCGCTTATCTACTACATTCGCCGTAGTGAATAACCTTGACCTCAATGAATGTCGGCAAGGACCTATTCAACTACGACCAGAGCTCGCCAACGATGGCTGCCAAATCCTATTAACGCGGGTATGCTGCGCACAACATGGACACGGCGCCCCTCCCCGTGTTGGTAGCGGAACATCAGGTATTCGTGTCACTTACATGCGCTTGTGTTATAAACAGCCTAATATAATGCGTATTTGCTGCCAGGATATAACGCCGAGACGGACTCGACTTCTACACCTCAGCCCCAGCTTCGCCTCACAGGAACCCAAATGGCGACGGCAGTTACAGCTGATTCGGAAAATCATGAGCTGCGCCACTTTTTTGCGCGTTGCGTCGTATACGAACCCTACGTTGGGGTTGACGTCCGTTTCACCGTGTACGCGCTCGATAGCCCACTGAATCATGCCTCCGAAACGGTCGAAAGTCTCCAAATCTCGCAGCAGACGGCCCCCCAAGGCTAGGGCAAGTGATCAAGAACCATGCGAGCAGGAGGAAAATGCGAGGTCAGGTATGGAGAGGCTATTGCTGTTCTCGGTCTCCACTGCTATCTATGGGTTTCATACTCTCCTTTCCAGGCTCTCAGAAGCTTTTCATCAAGCTTCCGGCACCCACGCTTGCTAAATCCGACCCGAGTACGAGATTGTCCTTGCTCAGAATGACATTGTTGACTGATTATCCATAAAGTCGAGCTGTCCAGTGATAGAGACTCGAGCTCGAGTGATGAGGACCATCAGCACCGCGAGGATGTTCTTGTGCAACGTGAAGAGGAGGAGGAGGAGGAGGAAGAAGAAGAAGAGAAGGAGAAGGAAGAGGGGGATCCGTTCTCCGAGTCTCCATTCAATTGGGACCTGGAAGAGACTGGCGGTGCCACGCCATGGCCGAACTCGGAGCTCGAGGTTCCAATCACGCCTATCGCAGTCCGTCGTACGTCTACAACTTTAGGACGTGGTAAACAGCCTCCGGTCCCGCGTGGTGATGATGTAGAAGAGCAGGCATTCAATGTCTACTACGAGATTGTGGTGCCAGCCTCGTCTGGGACACGTGTCAGGGGAAGGTCGCAAAATCCCAAGGAGAAAGAAACCATCCATCACGATGGCCCCGCGGAAATTCCCATGGACTTCTCGTGGGAGGCATTTCTTGCACGAACTGCAGACACGATCGAGGGAGTTGGTTCCGTCGATCAACTCCCAATCTCATCGTTCATGTGGAGATTTGTCAGACCGAAGAATGCTCCCTTCCTCCCACTCAGCAAACCCGAGGGCTATCGAGCAATGCTTGCGCAGTTTGACGGCAAGAAGCCTTCGCAATGTAATATCTTCGTTCGCATGGCAAAGCCAAAGAGAGACAAACCTGATACTCCTGTATGTGAACACACTGATTGCTGTCTATAGTTCTAACGCCCGAATTCCAGACTTGGGCCGCCAAGGCGGACGATAGCAGTTCACCAAGTGACGAAGGTGATGCAGACTTAGACCGGAAGAGCATACTTAGCAGGGGAAGAAAGGATGAACCTATCGAGCATTATGCGCAGAGGATCCTCGAGACATGGCATATTGGAAAGTGCAAAGAACATCCCAAGATTCCATGCTTCTTTGGTCACGAATCACAGCTTCACTTTGACTTGAAGGAGCCGGCACGCCTTGCGTGGGCAGCACAGATTGTATGTGATGCATTCAATCAAGCGGGGTTGCAATCTGACTCAGATTGTACAGGTACGAGGCGAGGCCTCGATTGTATGTCCAAAGATTCCGTCTGCTACATTCAATGTCCGGACTGCCTTGAAGAAGTCTGCTGTATCTGCTGCGCCGGAACCATCTACCTCCATGCAGCCATCTACGCCGACGCCAGGTCAACCATACATGTTTCCTTCATTTGCTCCATCTTTCCCGTTCATGCCGATGCCATTCCCATATTCACCTGGCTTTGCGCCCCATTCTAGTTACCCGAGCGGCAGCGGATTCGTGACTCCACAGCTCCGTAACAAGCGATCGTTTGATGATCGGGAATCTTCACCGGTAATGGATCCAGTGTCGCTGGAAGAATTTTGCGCAGAGTATCGTCTATCATCAACTATCCGTGATCGGCTTGAGCGGATGGAATTTCAGCCTGGAATGAGTTTGGCTCAGATTACGGAGGATGATTGGAAGGAGAAAGGATTTGAGAAGCTTGGGTGGGGAAGTGTTGTTCGGGCAAACATGAAGTACAAGGAGAAAATGAATAGCGCGTAGATCATTATCCGATACGGTAACCACTATGTCTAAACCAGCCTATTGCCTTGTCGGCAGTGACAGCATGAGCACATGCTTCGTGTATATCTAAAATTGGGTTATTGCTGTTGAGAAGATGTCGATAGCTTCTGCGAAGCCATGCCTTCACTGGCATAAAGTTAGCGACTGAGTTGGAGCGACAAAGTGTATTGCACACGCACATGCACTGAAACTCTCTTCAATAGGGTTGAGATCCGGTGAGTATGGTGGGAGAAAGACTAAAAGGCATCCTGCCATAACATCAGGACCGTCGTGGGATGAGAGATTGCAACATGAGACACAGACCTTGTCCCTCAACAACACGACGTAGCGTGTCCATTTTGTGGATCGAGCAGTTGTCGAGGATGAGGACACTCTGGTCTTGTGGATATGGGTTCATGCGCGGAAGCTATGCACTCGTCAGACTACTTCAAATGCATTTCCTGATGTGACGTACCACTTCCTCGACAATGAAGTCAAAGAATTCGTATGCGTTGACGGAGCCCTCCACAACACGCGTCGACACGTATCCCGAGAGGGACAGGGCTGCTACAACACTATATCTTACTCCTCTGGCCAAAGGATTTGCCATCGGAGCTCGATCCCCTTCCTGCGAACGACCGTAAACCCGACACAGAGTCCGCCCGTCCTTGCTTGATTCGTCAACCGTGACGATCATCCGCGCACGCAAGTGTTGCTGCACAGTCTGACGCCACGTAGCCCGTTGTCCTTCATCCCTCTCAATGGCAGACTTCTGCAGCTTCTTGTAGGTATAGCCAGAGTCGTTGATGAGGTCATGAATCGCGGTCTTCGAGAGAGCCAATTCGTGGGCAATAGCAAGCCACTGCTGGACTTCGTCAAGATAGAGGTCTGGAGCCTCTATAAGTAGATTCAGGATGTCGGACCGCTGCTCGCCCGTCGTCCGAGAGGGTCGGCCACGAATGGACCGGGGAGGTCGAGCAAGGGAGTCATGTTCCTCAAAATTGTGTTTCCATCGTGTCAAGCTAGCAAGAGACACGCCAAGAATGCTACATATCGCTTCGCGTTCGAGTCCCCTGTCAATCAGATGCAAAGCACGTAGTTTGACGTCGTCACTAATCGTTCGGAAGCCCATGGGGAGCGTATCAACGTGTATCGCTGGCGTGTCTGCGCTCTTGACACAGACAACCCCAACGTAGGGTTCGTACACGACGCAACGCGCAAAAAAGTGGCGCAGCTCATGATTTTCCGAATCAGCTGTAGTCTATTTCTCGACCTTTTCAAGGGCCCTAGACGGGTGCACAAAGTTCTCATCCCAGGTATCGATGTGGCGGGCAAGACTATCTTGCTATACCTGCTCGAAAAACGGCCGCGTACTGACGAACAGCATCAACCTCGAATCGCTACACTTTCCGGACTCGAACGACGCATTCGTCAGCTGAGACGTCCGTGTAGGTTACAGCGGGACCATGCGCGACCTCCCCAGGTACTCCCTCCCTGGAGTTATATGGATGGGTTGACTCGATGGAAAGAAACTTCCTGGAGGAAAGTGTCATAGAACTCAAGTAGCTGAAGACCGGACTCGATCGAGAGCTTGGCGCCCGGGTTGCTCGAAAGATCCCGTTCCTCATGTGAGTCGTGTCGAAACCGTTTCATGGAGCTCGCCGAAGGCTGATGCAAGTCTCTAGTCTGGCGAACAAGCAAGACCCCTCGGACGCCATACGTATCTCGGAACTCCATGCCACGTTCTCCGCCGCATGCCAGGGATGTTCGTGGAACATGATCCCCGTGTCCATTGCCAGCACCGAGGACGTCGGCGTCAAAGCTGCCCTCAGAAGGCTCTGCCAAGCGCTCTGTGACGGATCGGCGCCAAGGGAGGAGAGCTCGGACACCACAAGTAATCCGCAGACGACGGCTCTTCAGGACGGTCAAACTACGACTACGGACCGCGTCCCGCGATACGTGAAACGTGCAATCGCAGATGAAGCCAATATGCCCGATGAGCGGTTCTTGGAGCAATTCAAGGCCGCCGACTAACCCTCTTGGGATCACTACACCCATTTGCGTGTTGCCTAGGTTCTACTGAAGCTCCGCGGTCGTCAGAAAGGCAAGGACGAAATTTTCGACGGCATTCAGCACTATCTGGCCATGACTAAGACTCAAACCGACGCGCGCAAGTTCCATTACTTCTGGATTCAAGCCGTACATCTTGGGCTCACCGGGCAGAACTTGACACCGGCCGCACCCGAAAGACCCTTCTATCCCAGTACCACATTGGTGGAGGAGACTCGGACAAGGTGATGGAGGCGAAGGAAGAAGGCAGCTCCGCGGAATTACCTCCAGCGTCGTTTGTGTCTTTTCTCTTTTCCAACCCGTATCTTGCGGAACCCGTTCCTTGGGAGAGATTCTACAGTCGAGAGCTCATGATGAGTCCAGCAGCGAAGAGCCGATGAACTTGCCGGATATAACACCTTTACCCAGCATCAAAGAGAGAGATGCCGTACGCGCGTGATGTATTCGCCATGATTTTTCAATGCCAATAGAAGCCCTTAAAGATTGAAGTACATGAGATGTTGGTTTCGGCAGGCTGTGTAGCACCGCGCAGGGGACAATTGCCACTTGGACCGGACCGTCATGCCGTTGCGGCCTGCTTTCTCCTGTTTCCGATGCTCTCATTTTGAACGGCTGCCTACCGCGTTGGCTTTCGCGCTTCTGTCGGCCTTGTTGCACTGTACTACTTATTTGCGAAACCACAGCAAACCGAGCCATAACCGACTGACGACAGTGCAGGTTCTCGTGAAGGCCAACTGGGTTCGCGCAGGCTGCTAGTCTCAACTCGAAGGACGGTTATTAGAGGCATAGGTGGTCAAAGCACGACAAATTCGGGAAAGTGGACTCTGCGAGGATGCGCACTATCGCGGTACCAGGATCGATGGATCCCTCTGGTGGCTCTCCTCCATCCAGTGGCTAGTCTACTGCCTGCAGAAACGGACTGCCACCCATGAATGCCTGCCTCCTGTGCCTCATGCATATCGGATCCATGGTTCATGGGCTCGGATTTGACGGCTCATCCCACGGAACTACCGGGAACGAGGGCTGTGTGCATAGCATAACTCACGACCCATCCGCGGCTATTCGGCGCCTCATCAACGCATGAAACTCATAGAAGCACCTTAGATGCGGGCGCGAACTGTCTCGGGCTGACTCGATCTGAGCCACTCCGCCAGGGCTTGGGCATACGACGGTTTATTTGGTCTTTTTATCATTGTGCAGGCTATGCTCTGTTACCCGACAGCGCCGCACAGCGCCGGTCATCTCGCGATCTCGCACAGACATGGCACTGCTCGGCGAGACATAAAAGCGTTGCAACTTATTATGTCCAAGGCAAGCGCAAAACCCTCTCATCTGCTCATCAGCGCAAGCTTCACAATGACCGTGATCATCCACCATTCCACCGTCAGCTACGGAAGGTCAGTATATTGACCGGCCGCTGTTGTTATGAAGCTCATTGTATTCACGACCCTTTTGCTAGTACTTCGAATGGAAGCTCCCTGTCAGCGGGAAGTTCTGTGATCCACGTCCTACCGATCAACTTCGGGTGCGTATGTTGGCTCTGATTCCTTGGATCCGCGCTCACATCTCCGTCCTCTCAGTCCGCGACCTGAACCGCTTGGTCCGAGCCGCCCTCGCCCCCGTCCGCGACCTAAGCGTAGCCAGGAAGGCCCAGAATACGATTATCTTCTGTTTTGACCTTCCTCAATTCAACATGCAGCTCCAGCCTTGCTTTCCGTTGTGATACACGTCGATAGTACTTATAATTTTCCCAACTGCCATAGTTCACGACACCAATCCTGATGGAGGGTATATCCATTATATTCGCATCCAAGAAAGGTGACTGGTATACATGCAAAGCAGACATCATTTTCGTACAAAAGACAACGGCGCATCTTAAAGTCTATCGTTGACGAGTATCGCCTTGAGGTGACAATTTTGATGCTATTGGTTCTTGTGGGGAAGCCCCTGCAGGTTCGGTCGGGGACCAGTGAACGTCTTGTAGCCCTTGAACCACCAGTAGCCGAAGGCGATGATCTGGAATGGACTGAAAGAGCGCCACATTCGCTTCAGACCCGTGCGTGGCAAAATGCGGAACACAAACTTACACATATATGACGACAGCCCAGTTCATGTCCACGGGGTCAGCTGTACAGCGATATCGTCAACATGGAATTGTTCCGGAAGATGTAAGAAGACAACTGACGCATCGGGCCTTCCGGGCTGTAGAAGGCAACGCCACAGTGATTAGACCGCTAACTCCGTATTCTGAAGAGAGAAGAGGGTACTCACAAGCTGACGAGAGGCATGATGAATGCATTCCACGCCACAGCCGTCCAACGTATAGCGCGCGAATACCGGCCGAGGTTGTACGGTCCGTTACGGTATTCCGGGTTATTCTCGTACAGGCACCGACCTAGGACCGGGAGGATGTACCCGATCTGACCGGCCAGCGTGCTCCCCGAGAAGAATGCTTCGAAGGCGGTGTCGGAGCCGACGGAGATCACACCGAATGCGGCCGAGAGGATGAAGACGACGAGCGAGGCGTTGTTCGGCGTCTGCGTGCGGGGCGAGACGCGGCTGAGCCAGTCCGAGAACGGTAGGGCCTTGTCGCGGGAGTAGGCAAAGAAGATCCGGGACGCCGCGACGAACTGCGGAAAGATAAGGTGGTCTCAGAATAGCGGCGCAGCGCGATAGCATTTTGATCCAGAGAGACGATACTCACGAATGCGACGCCGCAAGCAAATTGTGTGAAAGCGTTTATGGTCATGAGGGCGATACCGCCTTTGGTTCCCAGTACATCGGCCATAAGCGTGCCGACGGGCTGTCCCAGGGGGTTCGCCATGAGCGAGTCGATGTCAGTGGCGCAGAGAGCCAAGGAGATAAGGTAGACAAATCCCAGGAAGGCACTGGACCAGGTGCTCCACACCATCGCTCGTGGAACGGTGATCGCAGCGTTGTGGGTCTCCTCCGCGACGTGGGCGGCCACATCGTACCCACTGAGGGTCCAAGTAGCGGAAAGGAACGTCATGCAGAAGGACCAACCCGCAGGCCAAGCAATTTGATTTTCACCCTGGCCACGTATTTAGCATATTGCGATGGTTCATGTAGACCATGTAGACAAAGATCTACCTTGGTAAAGATGTCTTTGGCAGAGTTCAAATGGTCGGCTTTGATGGGTAGAAGGATGGTCACGATGATCAGCACGATTGTGCCGATGAAGTACGCCCATATATTGAACCAGCTGACGTAGCGCGTGGGCAGACAGATGACAAGGTACGACGCGAACATCATCGCCAAATACACCAGGTAGATGTGCCACGAGGCAGGTTCGTAATCTGGCAGCCCGACTTGAACGGTCGCAACGAGCAGTTGGGCTGCCTAATCAGCCCACGACGAGTCAGTGATAGTTTCGGGAGCGCAAGATGAGCAAGTCTCACTGAATAGGTGATGGATACGCAGGCGAGAGGCGTAGATATGATCATCGACCAAGCCACGACGTAGCAGGACAGCATTCTCCATCTGGGAGAGGCCGTCATATACGCCCAATAGTACAGTCCACCCGACGTAGGGTAGGCAGAAGAAAGTTCAGCGAGGGAATACACGAGGAACTGCATGCATATAATCAGCACAAGCAGTACCAGGACTGCAGAGATACGCACTTGGCCCATGACCGCCGCGACTAACCACCCCCATGTCATGCCGATGAGCCCCATGTACCCCATAGTGTACCTGCACGCCGTGAGTAGCTTATCGGGACAGTCACAACAACGACCACGCACCATATCGTTCCCGCAACACCGGGCAGCACGGCAAGCTCGCTAGACACGAGAGAGAACAGGCCCAAGAACGTGAAGTCACGACGGAACTCCTGCTTGTAACCCATTTGCTCGAGGTAGGCGTCGTCGTCCGTCGCGTCGGTGACCTCTACGGTCGTCCCTGGCTGATAACCAGGCCCGTGCTTCTCCATGTCCTCCTTCGCCCCCTCGAAGGATTCGGCCCGCGAAGAAGAAGAAGACATCGTCGCCGATTTTGCGAGGCACGGACGTCACTTGGATTTTCGCTGGTAATCGTATAGCCTGGAGGACGTCGTAGTGAGAGGAGACACGCAGACCTGTCGCAAGGTTCTTATCGCGGCTCCCTCGGAGGTATAGTGGCGTCAGAGGGAAAAATGATGGGCTGCGTGGGGTGAGAGTCTGGAGAGCGCTGAGGGGGATTGAACTTTCTCTGAGGGCTATCATCTGCCTTCTGCTCGATTGAAGGCAAATCACCGGGTGCCGCGCCTCCGATCGTGTGAGATCAACCGGGATCCAAGTTGGGTGTTGGCTGAATGATATTCGTCCTTGATCGTTTGTTGAACATTTTTTGGTCGGCAAAGTGGTAATAGAGACTGAGGTTGGCGGGAGCTGGCCGGGGAGCGCAGCAGGGTGATCGACATAACGCGTCGGGATAACGCCATGTAAGCGCGAATTACCAGATTAGGGGGGCGCATGGCCGATTTAGGAATGGTACCACCCCCGCTTTTGAAAACGAGGTGCCGGTATATGTGCGTGATTACAGAGCAATGGTATCTTCGGTACAGTTGCCAGTCAGTCTACAGGAGCAATCTCACGCCTAATGTACTGAGTGTGTGTAGAATATGAAATGCGATGTACCAGGTGAGAATGCGATGGTGATGGATGATTAGAGGAGCGAATGTGAGGGAGGTAATAGGAATAAGCATATGATGGTGTTATTTCTTGTTTACGTGCTAATGAGGGGAAATGGGTTTTGAGAATGCTTGCAGTGGTTACGGATTATGAACAATTAGTAGGCTTCGACTGATTGGGGTGTGGGGAAGGGAGTACGTCGGACTCGATGGCTGACACGCGTTGGAAGGCTGCCCTGCGAGGAGCCATCGTCTCTGGTCGGGTTGGTGACAGCTTCTGCTGACAGGGCTGCTTCAGATCGGCGTGTTGTCAGACGAGGGCGTTTCGGGATCTCGACCTCGCGTCCCAGCTCGTCGGCGATGGAATGGACGTCGCGCCGGGTGCGTTTCGGAAGAGAGCGGATGACTCTGGTCTGACCAACCGGTAACGCTGGCGAGGAGCCCGGACACATTTGCAACGATAACGGGCGATGGTGGGCGATTTTGGTGGACTTAGCGATCGCGGCAGAGATGGACGCCCCGGTGGCTACGGACAGCTCCACATGGGTAGGCGTTCCCGTGCTGGGCGACTTTCTGCCATTACTGTTGCTGTAGAACTGCGTGATGAGCGAGTGTATGCTGCAAAGCAAGAGGCCCTACGGTTTCAGAGCATTGTACTTCTTCAACAGCGCATCGTGGTTTTGCTTCCATATGTCCCTGTCGTTTTCGGCTTTTGTGGCTCTTTCCCGAGCATCTCTCTCCTTCTCGGCGAGGATATTGGCTTTTGCGATGTTACTCTCCGCCCTCTCCATAAGGAGCCTCTTGTCGGTCTCGAGTCCCCGGATGCGTTGTTCCAGCTGCTTCACTTTGGCTTCCAGAGCGGCGGTGTTTGGGGCGTTCGGATCGACCTCAAGATACACCTTACGGATGCTGGGTATGATAAAGGGGTGGTATTTCTTGGGAACGAAGTTCAAGTCGGGTATGGCTGTATACAGTCCGGAGGTCAGATAGACGCATATATGCATGGACCCGCATGGACCTACCGATACTGAATGGGGTCCGGCATGTCGGGCAAGTCGACTGGCACGCATCTGCTCCTGCATTTATATGCCCATTCAAGCATTTACTGCAGTGCACATGGCCTGTAGAGTATCCCGTCGTCAGCACGAACGCGCCACACATATGCCACTTGGCAATATAATCCTTACCACACGGCGCAGCGACAGGGTTCTTCAGGGCCTCCAAGCATATCGAGCAGGTTGCAGACATTAACAGCAAGAATTTAAGCTATGGAAAGGGAATGTGATAGCGCCGTCGATCGTCCTGACACAGGGCGGCTATATTGACGCGGGAGCAGAAGAAAGAAAGACAGAACGGTGCACGTGCACGTGCCTGCTGCTCGACCAAGCGCTGACGGCGGTCTCTGGGATCAATGAACCACCGGCTTGGAGGTACATAACGAGAGACGGACAAAGCGTTCATTAGGATCTGTGAGTGACCTATACGTCCTTACAGGTTTAGTGACCTATATTGAATCCTCACTTGCTATGACGACCAGTCGATCGCGAGGAACCTCGCGACGCAAGCAGGCTCACGTATGTTAATGCGCGAATAAGTATACGATGTCAACATGATTCTCATGACTCGGAATGCAGGCAACCTTCAAGGATATCCTTGGATTTCTGTGTCGCGCGTTTCCCGTCACCAACGAAGGGCATCTGCCAAACGGTTTCGTTGCTGTGCGCCGAAGCCTCACGCTGTCCCCGGTCCGAATTTCAGCTTGGTTGCCCGGCAGCTTTGATTATTCCCCTCGTTCATACCCAACTTGAATGTCTTCGCCTCTGCGGTCGTCTGTCCTTTCTTCCAATTCGCCTCTCTCCCCACCTCCGAGATCGGCATCGCGGAGTTCCTCACGGACGTCATTGCGATCGGGACGCCACAGCCCTTCGGTGTCTCTGGACGACCCTGGTAAGTCGCGTTTCGCCTGATCGTCACACGCGTTCCGCCATTCCCTACCTTCGATGCACCCTGTTTTCGTGTCTTGCTCGCCGGTCGCTCATTCCGAACTTGCTCTCAGTTGCCCTCCGCCAGCACCTTTCAACCTTAAAACATTCTATCCGCCAGCAACAAGCCCAACTGCACAAATACGAAACCGAGCTTCTACGCGGTCCACGACCACTCCCTCCTGAAATCATGTCCCCGTCCACCTCTCCTACCCTCGAGATCTCCTTCTCCCACAGCAGTAGCAGCAGCTCACCCCCATCTGCCTTCTCTCCCGCGTCACCCGCCACTAAGCTCTCTCGTCGCAATTCCTACGACGCGCTGCAAGAAATCGCAGGCCCTGAATCCAGTCTTCCATTACCCTTACCGCGCAACTCTGCGTCTTCCTCCAATCTCAGGCAAGACGGCGGCATCAGAGAAGGAATTCCGATGGACTTTGGCGTAGGATCCGCGACCCCCACGCATCACAAGCGCGTCTCAAGCCCGACACGAACACTGAGTCGTACGCGCTTCCGTCCCTGCACGTTCCTGCTCATGGCATGCTCATTACGTGTCCACTTCTCACACAGGAATACCGGTTTCATCGGTCGGTGAGTCCGCGCAGCGCGCATCTCGAAAAATTCACGTTTTTATGTAAAAGCATCCCCACAGGCAACGCGCGCGCGTTAGCCGACGAAGGCCAAGATTCGGGGCACCACGGCTCCTCTTCCCTGCACCCGCCCCCGTCGCCGTCCAATGGTACGAGCCCGTCCTCGAAGCGGCTCTCGCTCACGCCGGGCGGTACGACGAAGGTGCTCGCGGACCTGCAGACGGGCGTGATGAACGCGCGGAACGCGCTCGAGAACACCAAGGCGCAGCTCCGGCTGAGCCAGCGCACGGTCGCGACGCTCACGCGGCAGACGGAGGACATGAAGGAGGCGCGCGAGCGGCTCCGGCTCGAGAACGAGGGGCTCAATAACGTCGTCGCGCGCAAGGAGCGGCTGCTGCAGGAGGCGATCGCGCGCGCGCGTAAGGCGGAGGAGGAGCGGGACGTGCTCAAGGCGCAGCTGAAGACGGAGACGTCGACGGCGAAGAAGTCGTTGAGGGAGATGGAGAGCCAGTTATCGGAGGCGACGGCGCTGTCGCAGCGGAGGGACCGGGAGTATGTCACCTTGAGGGACAGCTTGGCGAGTATGAAGGAGAGCTGGAAGGCGGATACGAACGGGCTGAGGGAGGAGATGAAGAAGAGGGAGGAACGGTGGCGAAAAGAGGCGGAAAATATGGGGAAGAAGTACAGGGCGATGGTGGAGGAGTGTAAGAAGGCGGAGGCTGAGAAGATGACTGTGAAGCAGCTGATGGAGGAGCATACCGGGGTGCAGAAGGAGATCGAGCAGCATTTGAGGGAGGAAATTGAACGCTTGAAGGGCGATATGGAAAAGAGCGGGAAGGATGGCGAGGAAGCACTCAAAATCGCACAGTGCGTTCCGACTTCTTTCCAGACTTGGTCTTGGTGAGGGCGATGCTGATCACGCATATATGCAGATCTCTATCCATGGAACTCGCCCGTTTGAGGAGGTTGATGCAGGCCGCGGGCCGCGGCCCTTCATCACCAACGGATTCAAATACCCCAATACAGGAGCCTCCAGCAGGGACAGTATCAGCATGATCTACATACTATAATCGCACACAGGGCATTCGCGCATCGATCCTCCCTCCAATCCTCTCTCTCAAATCGACATCCCTCGCAAGTATACCCCGCTTTCTGTCGCAACCGCACGTCGCATCGTTCGTTATTATTTACACTTCATGTGTTCCAACCTTTTCCTCCAATGGCATGGCAGACTGTATGTGCACCGAGGTTCCCGGGTGCCTGCGCAACACATTGAGATCGCCTCCCGCGACTGGGCTGACAGCTAATCCGAATGTCTTGCTTATATGCTGTCCATGAAGCAACATCAAAATCACGTATATGAACGCAAAATATAAAAACGTTTTGATTCGTGCAAAGCGTGAAGAAATACATTTCCAGGGACGTGATGCTACAAGACAAGTCTGGGGTATTGCGCGTGCGATAACTTATAAAGTGCCGTTTTGATGACCGCAAGCTCAGACGATCGCATCAAGCGAGTTCCGCAAAGCCGACGGAGCTCTTGGAGAAGGAGAACGCGGTGTAGACGTTCTTCATGAAGCTGTCGCCGAGGAGCCAGACGTCGTCGCCGAGGCCGAGGTCCTGGCCGGCGAGCGCGCCGACGCACTTGCCCGAGCCGGTCTCGGTCTCACCCAGGCTGAGGCTAAGAATGGCGCGCAGGAGAGTCAGCAACGATGGGATATGCAGTCAGCGCGAACGGGTTTCGGGGGGAGGGCTCACTTTTCCGAGGAGATCTCCCAGTCTTTGCCGCCCCAGTTGAAGGAGATGGTCGGGGGCGAGTCGCAGGGGTAGGAGTAGTATCCCTCCGAGGAGTCGTACACGGCGGAGCCGGAGACGGCGGCGTACACGGCCTTGACGGCCGAGGGCGGGCCGTACATGATGGTCGTGCCCGAGTCGATGATGGTGTCAAAGTCGCTCTCGACCGTCTTCGAGCCGACCTTGACGCTCGCGCCGGTCGCCTGCCAGAAACCGGTGGAGGTGTCGATGGAGTGGTACTCGATCGAGCCCGAGTAGAGCGAGCTGTCGGTGCCGCCGAGGTAGAGCTCCGAGCCGGACGAGGCGAGCTTCATGCCGAAGACGTTGGACGAGACGGCGCCGGCCGAGTCCGCGGTGTTGAAGAACGGGTTCTTGCCGAGGTTGGAGATCAGGGGCCAGGCCATGCCGAGCAGACTAGTCGCGGAGGATGTTAGACTGGTAACGCGATTGCTGGATTCAGCGGCGCTTACCCGTCGATGGGGTCATCCTTGAAGCTGGAAGAGAGGGTGGTGACCGGGGAGAAGTACTGGCCCGTCACGCTGACACCACCGACGGTGACGTCCTCGGTGTAGACGGGGCCGGAAACGGTCGAGCCATCGCCATACTCGATTTCGAAGGTACCACTCTTCTTCGAGCCCGTGGACGACTTGGACGCGGTGTACTTGCTCTTGGACGAGCAAGTCGAGCTAGAGCAGGACGACGAGGGGACCCAAAGGTCAGACGAGCCGGCTAGGAGATTGACAGTTGAGCACATATTGTAACATACAAGAAGAACGAAACCTACTGTCGAAGTCGATGAGGAACTTCTGAGCGGGGGAGCCGATAGAGATCGTGCCAGCCCACTCCTCATCGGAGTCCTCGTCGGTGAGGCTCTCCTTCTGGCGCTTCTCGACGGTAGGGACCTCCTTGAGCTCCTTGATGGAGGCACCCTGAAAGAAAAAGAGTGTTCAGTTAGCCTCAGTCCGGAAGTTATTTGAGTATGATTGATTACCTTGGGCAGGCTACCAGTGTTGCGTTGCAGGTTGATCAGGTTCTGACGGTGCTTGTTGAGAGTCCGCGCAGAGGCAGCGACGGCCTTCGCGTGGTCGAAGGTGCCGTCGGCCTTGGTGAGGGCGCTGCGCTTAGGCAAAGCAACGCGGACGCCGGTGTCGCGCTCGACGGGCGAGGCGGAGGCAGCGAACGCCAAAGCGAGGGTGAACAGGGTGGCTTTGCAGAACATGGCGAAAGCGGAGGGTGATCAACTGGCTGAGGCCTTGGAGAACTGAGCTAGCTGCAGAGAGGACTGGGATCCTGTCGGTCCCTCGTCGCGAACGCCTGGCTTTTGTACCGCGCATGGTGAACGCGCTTTCGCACACGAGGAGTGTCCTAAACTCCGGCGCACAGGCGCCCCGCTGTACGTTCAGGCAATCCGCGACCGTCGTTCATACTCGAGAACCGTGGACCATGCTTCACTCGCCCGGTCTATTTTCGTCGCCGTTTCCGAGCAATGGAGCTCCCGAATTAGAACCGACGTTCAGGCCATAGATGGCATCGCTGTTCGCCCCTCGAAGCCTGCACAGGCGGTGGCGCACATTGCCCGAGGCGTGGACGCCTCATCTGGCGCGTTCGCGACGAACAGCCGGCGCGCGGTCGTCCACGCATCAGCAGCTTCTATCATCGCCCGAGCGCAACGCGCACATGCCGCACCTGCCAGAAGAACGCGTCGGGAAGGCGCTGCTCCGGGGATTTACAAGAGGGAACAGCAAACGCGGGGTAAAAGAAGAGCGGGATGCTAAAGCTAGTATTCCGGTACAGCCAACTTGCGGCAGGAAGCCTGGGTGACCATATGGATGCTCCATAACGCAGGAAAGATATAGCTGCGCCACACCCTGATACCTCCATTCAGCGGACCACGTACGGGTGGTTGCCTTGTGCTCGTATCGTGTAGACAAAGTCCTCGGGTATCATGGGTAGCGGAAGAGCTGGCGACGAGACTCCGGAGCCTGCATGTGCCCGGCCGCGAAGAGTCACCGCCACGCTCGTGACCCAAAAGACCTCACGTGAAGTCACGCAGGTGAGTCACATATATGACGTCATTTTTCCCACCTGTACTACTTCTCCAGCATCCAAGCAAACCGACTCCACTGCTCCGTGATGTCTATGCAAAACGCGATTGTACTCTACACCGACAAATAAAAGTGTACATGTGGCAACACTGCGCCTGGACGAGGCGCCATGATACCCTCGGAGGCAGGCGCAACCCGGCTACCCCCGGAAGCGCTCGCGAGTCGGCCCCTCTCGGGTTCATAGGCAGGAGGCTGGCACGATCTCTAAGGGGCGCCGGGGACTCTAGACAAACAAATCCAGCAATGCATCTGTCCACGGGTGCTGTTCCCCTGTTGTCGTCTATTGCCGGATCTCGGAGTGCTGGACATGACGGCGATTTTGCGAGGGTCAGGCAGGATCACCTACCGCCGCATTCAGCCGCATTCTCGATCCAGCCTCGACGCGCCCTGTTCAGCCTCGGAGCCCGCCACATGTGTTTATCCCCGCATCCTGGGCCACCCTGCGCGCTATTCGCCTCCACTCTATGTGGGGAACCGGGTCGACCTTTAGATGTACTCCTGGGCGGTCCTGCCGCGTGTGCGCTCGGCAAGCTTCGGGAGTCATACCCACTGCACTCACCTCGGAGTGACTCTGCGCTACCGTGTTATAAAATAAGTCTTCCGGGTTACCGCCCTCCTCATCCAATCCACCGTTCAACGTCATACAAATCAAAACTCGCAGCTCGAGGTGTGTATCAACGTGATGCCGACCTGCATCATCTGCCTTGACATCCTCAAATCACCGGTGGCGTTACCTTGTGGTGAGTAGCCGAAACCGTCGCATGACGCGGTCGGCCATAGTGTAGTTGCAGACGATCCTAATAATATGACTTGTCCAGGGCATGTCTTTTGCCAGCAGTGCCTTCAACGGGTCGTCATGGCCATCGCGCCGTTCATGACCCAACACCAATGTCCGACCTGCAGAGCGCCATATTGCATCGGTGAGTATTATTTCCTCACAGATACCCAGAAACCCGGTCGGCGTCGCTAAACACTTCAACAGCAGGCGTGGACCCCTCGATCGTGCCGGAAGAACTCCGCGCACACATCCTCCCCGCCGTCCGGAAAGTCTACCTCGACCTCTCGCCCAATCCGCACGAACAGGCGTCAGCAAAGAAATCGCCTTCCCTCGGCGGAACCGAGAAACATTCGGATCAGCAGGTGCCTGAGTCCCTCCCTCCGCACCTGAAGGAAGCTCGGCTGCGCCTGATGTGCGATGCCTGGCGCGGACGCGCGCAGATGCACGCCGCGGCGACGCTCGGGCTCGTCGGCCTCGCGCGCCTTGCGCGGGACCACGCGCTGAAGATGCAGGCCGAGCGCAACCAGCTCCAGAAGCGCTACCTCGAGCTCAAGCGGCAGTGCGAGATTATGTGCGTGCCTCTGCGTCGGGGCGAGGGAGGGCCTCTGTGCTGACCCGCTATTCGGCTCATAGGAAATCTGACAATGGCTCTGAGAGCAGCTCCAAGACGCTCACGAGCGACGGCTCCGAGCCCACCCTTTCCTCCTCCGCATCCGACCATACGGACGCCTCGAGCCCCGCCGCGAGCCCGAGCCCACCCATCGGCGTACCATCCACGAGCGACACGCTCGCCGCGCTCGCCACCTTCGTCTCTCCGCCGTCCCCCATCATCCCTCCGGCGTCTCCCGCCCCGCGCGTCTGCAGCCTCCCGCACACGCCTTCTGCAGGGACGTGCCGCCTCCCCTCCGTCCTCAAGCGCACTTCCTCCCAGTCCGCCGACGAATCCGATACAGGGTCTGACTCGTCCGAGGCTGTCACCCCGCCGCCGTTCAAACGGTGCAAGCTCGGCCCGTCGCTATCGCGTTTGCCCGAGTCGATCTTGCGGCGGCATCCGAGCGAGCGCAAGCTCGAGGCGATGGCCGCGGTCGCGACCTACCTGCGGAACGAAGAGCGGGAGTCGTCGCCGGTCTCTGCCGATTGACAGTACACTATCATCACCACCGCGACTACCACATATAGAACGATATCTGACTGTAAACTATTCTTGCTCGTCCCCGTTTCGTCAAGTGTAAATGTAGGACATGCTTCATGTGTACGGAATACCTCCTCATATTCACGCGGCTCACCCATGTATTCGTACGGCACCCCTCAATCATCCATTTTATAAATATGATAATCTTGTATACACGATGTGATACGGGAAATGACACGAAAGCGGACGAAAACGGGATGACTTCCTGAGGACGAATAACACGAAAGGCACGGCTGAGCACACACAGGAACAGGCGCGGTTCCGAGTTTATACCGATTTCACCATAAGATGCAATCAGACCGCGGAACCCCCCACGATCACAACCAGATCAAATCAAATCGCGTCGCGCCTCGAACGGTCCTTGAAACCGTGTCCGAGCGAGATATCCCGAAGGCGCAGCCTGCCCCCCCTCACGCCAGCTCGGCGAAGCCAACGGAGCTGTCCGTGAAGGAGAACGCGGTATAGACGTTCCTCATGAACGCATCCCCAAGGAGCCAGACGTTATCGCCGAAGCCGATGTCCTGGCCCAAGAGAGCCCCGACGCACTGACCCGAGCCTTCCTCGGTCTCGCCCGCGTTGAAGCTACGAATGACCCATGAGCGTTCTGTCAGGTGGTTGCTTGCGAGGGAAGAACTCGCCTGTCTGCGGAGAGGGTCCATTGCTTGCCGCCCCACGAGAACGAGACCGTAGGCGAGGAGTCGCACGGGAACGCGTACGCCCCTTCCTCTTCGTCCACGACGGAAGAACCCGAGATGGACCCGTACACTTCCTTCACGGCCGAGGGCGGGCCGTACATGAGGGTGGTCCCACTGTCGATGATGCTATGCGGCACGCATATAAGCTCGTGTGCATTCACGCGGCTATCCAAAGGCTTACGTGTCAAAGTTTTGCACCACGGTCTTGGATCCCACCGACACGCTCGCCCCTTGCGCCTGCCAGAAACCGCTGGAGGTGTCAATGGCGTGGTATTCGATCGAACCCGTGTAGAGCACGCTGTTCGTCCCGCCGAGGAAGAGCTCCGAGTTGTTGGACGCGAGCTTCATGCCGAAGACCTCGGCGGGGATCGCGCCTGCTTTGAACGCGCTGTTCACGACGGGGTTGTGGCCGAGTTGCGAGATGGCTGGCCAGGCCATACCCATGATCCTGAAACATACGAAGGTTCAATCGGTGTCAATACGTCTAAACCGTCGAAGGTATTCACCCATCGGACGGATCACCGGAAACGGTGCTTGTGTCTTTGGTGACAGGGGAGAAGTATTGGTCGGTGACGTTGACCCCACCGACGACGACAGTGTCAGTGTAGACGGGCCCGGAAACCGTAGAGCCATCGCCGTATTCGATCGTGAATGTGCCGTCCTTCTTGGAGGACGTGGAGGACTGGTGCGCGGTATATTTGTTCTTGGATGTGCAGGTCGAGCTTGAACAAGTGGAGAATGGGACCCAGAGGTCAGAGGATCCCGCTGTCGTGCAGCATCAGACCCTGATATCATGAGCGTAGATCCGAAGACTGCAGCACGTACTGTCAAAATCTACCACGAAAGGTTGACCCGGAGTGCCGATGGTGATGTCGCCAGTCCATTCTGCGTCGCCTACGTCTGTGAGCGTTTCGCTTTGGCGCTTCTTGCCGGAAGGCGGGGGAACCGTGACCAATTCCTTGACGTGCGCTCCCTGAAGAGGTAATCGGCATCAGTTCGTTGGGGGTGATGCTGACATGACGACGCGCGCATACCTTGGGCAGCCTTCCTACGTTATGCAGGAGGTTGAGCAAGTTCTGCCTATGCTTATTGATGGCGTTGGCCGTGGCTGCCTTCAGCTTGGACTGATCGACTACGCCGTTGACGGTGGTGATACCACTGCGTCGCGACATGGGGATGCGGACGCCGTGGTTATCATGCACCACAGGGGAGGCGGATCCAACCAGTACGAGAGCGAGAGCGAGGAGAGTGACTTTGCAGAACATGCTGGACGTGGAAGAGGAACTTTGCAGTTGCCGTAGCTGCTGAGGCAGGCGTGAACACCTGATGAGGGACATTTGGTGAGGATGGCGCTCCTTTATACTTCAAGTTGGCACGCTAGCTGTCCCAACAAGATGCATTTGGACCCTCTACCGAGATCTCGTTGCCGACGATTGCAACAGGTCGTAACCAGACCCGTGCCATGGACATTAACTTCGAAGGAATCAGAATGGTCCCGCCGGATGTGAGGTCAAGGCGTGTTTTGGAATCTTCCAGCCGTAGATGATCTGGGACATCCGGCTCTGCAAGGATCTTTAACCGGTTGTATAGATAGAACTGTATCATCGTCAACCGAGCTAGTAAATGCAATGGATAGAAAATAACCGTACTGGGCGGTGCTGGGAGTGATCTGCGAGCAGATCAAACTGATATGGAATGCGATTTCGCCAGCGTCTTGAGCAGAGACCGGCCAATGATGAGGCGCTAAAGATCAGAGGCACGGGGCATCAGAGGCAGAGGCTCCGGCGCTGAGGCACCGAGAATACAAGACGAAGAGGCATGCGATCGGGTGCATTGCCCACAAGGCTTCAGACTTATCTGTCTGAGCGTCGGTTTGAGCTCGACGAGATTACGGCGGGTTAGCACTGACATATTGACTTCACCTCGGTTCTCGGACATAAATATCCACGTCCCATGCAAGATTCAAGCGCCCTCGGAGATGCCATCCAAGCCGAAAACGTACTTCTGATACTGTCCGGCCACCAGACGTTGTCGTTGGCGCGTATACAAAGTTCGACGAATCTTTCAAGCATTGTGGCACCCGCTTCCCTTGCCAAGCTTAATCCTTGGGTAACGATATGTCGAAGAGCTCCATCGCATAGAACACTAGCAGAGACATTCAAAGGTCATTCCGTTCATGCCACTCGCCGGTTGCAAGGATGATGGTTTGTCTGCGTGTGAGGGGTGAAACCGTGGAACTGTGACCGTGGCATGAGTTACGGGGAGCCTGCCGACCAGCTGCAATGACGGGGTCGGCCACGTTGCTGACGAACGCTGTGACTCTGAGCCTGAGCAGCTCTAGCACCATTTCGAACCTTCTCGCCTCTCCTCTTGCAACTGCAATCATCCATCGCCTCTCACTACAAGCTAGCGTCGGGCAACGGCCTGCGTCGACACTGCAAGATCCTCTTATCCTCGAGCTGAACGCCGGCAAATCTCCACGATGGAAATCAAGCGGGACTTAACAAACCAACGCCCGAGGAATGCCAAGGCCGAAGCTTTTCGTAGTCGTCGCGGAGCAATATGAATATATCAACGCCAGCAATCGAGGTGATCAGAGGTTCGCCAATGACTACAACTCATGAGACCAGCAAGGGCTTGCACCGTGTACCCGATGGCTTGCCTGATCGCAGGGCGTCCGTTGGCGTTGATTACCGCTGCTCTAGGCCGGGCTAATCAGGGTCCTTCGCAGAGTATGCTGCCGGAATTGCGGGACGCGGTCGGTGGCTTTCCCGTGCCTATGCAGGCCGAGCTCATTGTCAGCTAAAGCAATTGAGAGCTGCGTGTTAGACGAATCCGTGCGTCCGTGTTTCCTCCTGGAAGAGGGACAGGTGAGTGAAGATATGTTCAGGAATCAGAACAGCGGGGTACTTACGGAATTCTTGAGGACACGCACATGATCCCGCAATGAACCACATTCGTCCAGGCGGTGTTGTTCTCTCATGCCGACGCGAGGCTGTGTATTATATATAGTCTCCCGCCGTACCCAACCGAACGAATCCAACGGGAAAGGCGCTAGCACAGTCTACAACTTGATCCCCCACCTCACGGTGTTCCTCCCCCGCAAAAGCTGGTCGCCGCGACATGTCCGTATGGATGCTCCGGTGGTCATCAGCAGCTTCAATTGACCGTCCTTCGGCTCAATGTGTCTGTTCATGGGAACCAGGACTGGCGCTCTCCAGTAAATGCGGCAAAGGAGGTTAATCGTGCCCAAGCGCAACGCGCGTGAGGTTGCCGCACCTGCCAGATCCAGGACTCGAAAACGTCGGCCCCGGACGGTCGGCGTGGCCGGCCGGGTTCGCGCTTTGGCGTTGGCGTTGTGGCCACTACAAAATTCGTCTGACTCATGCAACCCTCAACCCCTTCGCTCTCCTTCTTGTCCCTGGTCGCAATGTGCGCGCACACTCAGTCCCATATGTCTGGAGGACTGTACGAGCCGGTGGTGACCACACCGAACGAAGAATTGGAGTGCATCGTGCGATTTCTTGCAGCGCGCAATCCCGTCGGTGCGGAACCCGCCAGGGTGATGGCGGTACCCCTTGGCCAGGACGGCGGGACCGTCCCTGGCTCTGGGAATCAGTTCTTCGCGTATGTCCTTTGAGTGAGATTAGACGCTGGTCCGAGTAGTTCACGAAAGCTATCCAGAGGTACTTGGCTTCAGACTGGAGCGGAAATGAGAGACTCCGTCTTCACGCACAGGTCGGCTTTTCTACCGGCATTTCACGAGAAACATGTCGAACCTGATCGCAGCAATAGGTTATTGGATACTATACAAGACAAGGAGTACGACCCGGCTTCGACGGCGTCAAGTCCACACAGCTTTGCACAGGTCAACAACAGCTCGTTGCACCCGGGCTATGCGACCGCGCAGAACGGCATCGCTCTTTGGCCTGGCAACGTAGGGGCGCGCCTAAACGAACCCGAAACTGCAGAGGGTTCCTCCGGCGACTCGGAGGATTTCTCGTCTTTCACTACTTTCTATGACCCGCTGCAAATCCCTCGTTCTCGCTCGTCGCGGTATGCCTCCCAGTATGCTCTAGACTCTCGTTGCATGCGGTTTACGGCGCGTCGTAGATCTGCGTTGGTCGCACACGCGGCAAATTCCGGTCCCAACAACGATCCAGTAGGCGGCGAAGGACCGGATCAGTACATGTTCGTGCCTGTTGTTGTTGTCATCGTGTCCCTACTGACGCTCCTCCTTCCAGAGATCCACAACTCCTCGGACCAGGTCGCAACGATGCAATCGTTTCTTCATCTCAACTTATGACCATCAACGGCCCGGGCCCCCCTCTTGCGGCTGCCTATGTTGAAGCGGAGCTCGACGCGTACGTCGGCGTACCTGATCATTTTGATGTAGCAGTTCTTGACATCAATCATAGGACTTTGGGTCCTCCCGGTTCTTCCTCGTTTGGCATCGCCGCAATGATTGAAAATGGCGGGGGCTCTCCGAGCGATCCCGCCGGCGTACGGGGTGGACCGAACCAAGTCATTGTCGCGTCCTTCAAAAAGCTTTGTTTGCGCCGGTAAGCTAGTGTTACCCATTCACTTGCTGTATCCTCACGATATTTCTGGGTGCCAGTGCTGCAGCTTCCTACCCCAATCCGTTCCAGCGCGCCGACAAGAAACACATCTGCCCCGTTTGCGCGGAGAAGGGGGTGGAGCGTGCGTACTCAAGAAAGAAAGAGTATTATCGGCACTACCGGGACCACCACACCGGGAGCTCGCGCCTCCATTGCCCCGTGGCCGGCTGCAAGAAGACGTTCTTACCTGGCCGTCTTTACCTACGGGCCAAGCATGGTAAGCCACGTTGCTCGACGGAAATGGGGTGTCCGACCTTACTAATCGTGTTGCAGTGAACGATGTCCACGGGGACGCCCTTTCCGTTCTCTCATCGGAGACCGACTGCACAGTATTCTCCTTTCTTTCCTCCCAGATGGACGGATGAACGCATCGGGCTATCGTCGTTGTCATCTGCATCTCAATGGACTCTCGTCAGCCTTTCCGTCCCCCACGACATTCATCTCCCCCATCGTCGGCGCATTTAACGCCCATCAGTGTTGTAGTCTTGCTTTACGTCGATGCTTTCCAACTGCTTCTCGAGCTCTCACTCCTTGCTGTCTGAATGGGTCGTCCTCACTACCCGTTCCTGTTACGGACAAGGTACCCTAAATGTATATTAGCGCTGGCTCCTGTTATGTGTTGGCGCTTCGTCGACATAGGCTTGATACTAGCGTATATCAAACAATCCTTTGCTATCGAATTGTACTACCTACAAACTTCTTGATCGTACCACGCCCGTGTATGCTTAGTAGTGTCCGAAATAGATGAAGCGAGAAACTTGAGCTGGGTCCCGCGCGGTGGTGGGCCAAAATTGGAGCAAAATCAACGAGAACGATGTCCGAGGCGGAAATGAGATTCGAGTATTGCGAGAAGGCTTGCCACCGATTCTGTTGACGGATTAGATGCAGCGTGAGGAGTGGACCTCGTTGAGCCCGCCCTAAATCATAGTTCAATGTGTATAGCCCACAAACCATCCACGCTGCGCTCGAGTACTATATGATATCGTCTCTTCGGCCGGATGGTCGAATCGGCCAGTCACACACACGTCACACCTCCACGCTCAAAGATTTCGTACTCCGCTCGAGGTGGCCGATTCGTCGTCGCGCCGTCGTACCAAGCTGAAACTTGCGGTCGATTACGAAGATGTACGCTACAGTAATGAATAGTATGTGCAGGTAACAATAAAGAAAGAGATTCACAATATGATATGAGCATGTACTGTAGTGATTAAGATTCGAACCTCGCAACAAGTACGTTTGGATTCGACGACCCCGGGCAATCAGAGAAGGCTCTGTTCGATGTTGTCTCGAGAGGTGTTGGATATGGGGTGGATTTGGGGCGGGCTCCATGGGCGGAGCATCTGGAGAGCTTGAATAGGCCTGTGAAGCGAGGGTTCGAAGCAAGATCTTGGTGTGTCTCGAGATGTTCACGAATCCTTGGGATGATTGCCCAGACAGGGCCCTTGTCGTTGATGTGCAGTGCCTGCACCAGCCCGACGACGTCCTCTCTGGTTCTGTAGGCACTCAGTGGCTGGTCGAAAACTGTAACGGAGTACTCCGTAGCTTAGCCGTAGAGTAAACTTAGAATGGTCGCGGCTCCGCCGCGACTGAGAAATCACAATGTTGACGCGCCCGTTGGGCGCCATATGGTCAAACCTTGCGTGCTTACCTCTACTCCCCGGGCGCCTGATATCTGAGATATGATTATCTCTGATATCTATGGCGTCTCGACTATAAAGACTCGATTGCACGCCTGTATCTACATTCATTCTTGCTATACTACCGGATCCTGCTCTGTTGCCTGCGAGGCGCGTCGTGACACCGCCACCGCCCGCCTCGCCCCCC